CCCCCCCCCCCCCCCTCGCCACCACCACTACCCGTCCCCCAAGCAGAGAGAGGCATTGTGAGAGTTAAGTTTTTAGCCAAGAACATGACACAGAGAGCCGGCCAGTGCTCGAGCGCGGAGCTTTTACTCCAGAGTCCAACGGGCTAATCTCCAGGCAGCCATATGTTCCGCAGACCATCACTACTAGTGGTTTTGTAACCATAACTTACCCATGCATTCAGCACTGAAGTGACAGAGTACATTTCAGGCATTCGCTGAAGTCTGGAAGAGAGCTGCTTCTGAACTTTTTGAAGGAAAGGGTTGGCATCTATGACAGCAAGAGTATGAAGTTGAAAATAATTACTTTAATTCACTAGATAACTTTATTATTAAAAAGTTAGGTAATGAAATATTTTTGTGTATCACTTTTGATCGGCTGCAAACACCCAGTACGGTATATTATGATTGTAAAACGCAACACTCACCGTAATTTGCAGTTTTACACTCTGGACTAGAGTATGGGTAGTTCTGAGGAACACTGATTTCTATTGGTGGAACGGCTGGCAGATTCAGGTCATCTAAAACACAAAGGAAAATGGACTCAAAATGGACTCTCGAGAGTTTGTTTGCATTTTTTGTTTTGTTTCATGTAAAACGTCACAAAATGTAAACATTTCGCAACTAATTACATGAAATAAATTCAAAGTTTCAAAACAACCGCCATTATAGATGCGAAGCAGTCGAAGCTTTATGCTTCGTTCTTCTCATGTCACTTGATGAAACAACTTCGCAGCTGTAAAATCAATGAAGCTGTTGGGAAAAGAATTTGAAAGGCCTCAAAGATACAGGTATGTGGTTCGTAATGCATAACATCGATTCGCATTCCACCGAGTGTGCCTTACAATGTTTATAAACATTTAGGGTGCCGAGACTGCGCAGTACGGACTGGAAATCATCTTTAATATTAAAAATAGCTTAGTATCCAACGTCCAAGTGAAACTTTCAGTCCTTGAAGCTTTCTAGCATATGCTAACTTTCTATTAAGCCATCAATTAGGGCTCAATACTGTAGTTCATTGGTTAGGAGCAACACTTTGTGAGAATGTAGAAAATGGGAAAACGTCATCAACTTGTTATATTAATAATCACATTAATTTATTTACTAGAGGGCACGGTAACGAAACCTGCGATCTGATTGGTTCTTAGCGTGGTCCGGATTTTCCTACCTCTGACGACGATCACGGTAACGGGCGCGCAATGTGTGTGTGGGTAAGGTCAACAATGATAAAAGTGACTTGCGAGAAAAAGGAAAAAATAAAGGTGTTTACCGGTTTAGGGCCACTCTGTACAGTGAAAAACTGTAACCTAGGACTTGAAAATGCTGGCCTGTTCCGGCACCATTTTCAAGACCTCGGACACAGAATTTAGCTATGTGGACATCCAGACCGGCAAATAACATAAATGTACCATTCCCAACAAGTCAAGTATCTACAGTTAACAAAACAACTTTGATCAAGTGAACAGAACGAATGTACTTGATCACTATTCCTTACTTATTGAGCACTGAAGAAGTGTGTTACTCTGTATCACTCCTGCACTGGCTCCTGACTTCACTTGAAATCGACTGCATAATCTTGCCAGCTCGCCTTGCAATACATGTGGCACAGTGCACTTCCTTTGACTGCTATCATCCAGTTTGACCCTCTTAGCTGGAGGGGGTAGAGGACTGCAGAATATAATATACATAAGAAATAATACTTCTTACTGTGTAAAGAAAAAGTGACAATATTAATGAAACTATAAACTTTAAGGAAAGGCTGAGTGTTTATATTGTGTACGTATCCTATATGAAAGAGGTAGAAAATCGAACTTAGAGTTTGATCTTCCCGACATATTTGGCAAATGAAATTCCCATTTTCAGGTTGACTTTACCAGACTTGACAGTGTTTCTACGAATGCCCAAATGTTTGAAAATTGCTTCGTGAAAATTTCAGTTCCACTGACTTGATCCTGGAATTTAGTTTTATGGTTTGCACTTAAGAAACTTTGGAAAACCATTTGCTTCGCTTCCAAAATTTCCAGAAAGTCTGGGCTAATGGAAGTTATGGAAAGTGCTGCTAAGATGACTGTTTCCATGTTATGAATGTACCTGTAGGTCCGGAGAGGTTCGACTGTACTCACTTTATGAACAGCGACCTCTTAAACTTACAGTATAGGTGGTCCTTCCATGGCTTGTAGTAATGGTGAAAATGTCCTCTGTAAAGTGTGACTCAACATAGGAGACTTGGCATATTTTGTGACAGCATCATACAAAGGTTTATAAATAACATGGGGAAGGGTGGAGCCCACAGAGGGAGCTAGTTGTACTGCTGGACCAGATGCACATGCAGATGCAGATGATGTTGTTATGCTGGATGTGGCGGCAATACTGGATGAGGTGTTACCTGATGGTGTTGATGACGCTGGTGGGGTGGGTACAGATGACTGAAAGAATAAAAGTAGACTGCATTACAAAAAACATAATACTTGGGTAAGGGCTGATTTATCCTCTGAGACCCAGGGGCAGCTAGTCGACACGACACGACAATTTTGGGCAACACGATATTTTGGGGGGAAATTAACTTGAAGAGTGAGAGAGCCCCTGGTCTGGGAAAGATATTTTTCTGGCCAATCAGAGGGTAGGAATTGAAACGCTTCTGGAACTAGTCCGGTAAGAGTAAGTGCCCAGGGGCTCTCCTGCTCAAGATTCAAATGAACTTTCGCCCAAAAATATCGTGTTGCCCGAAAATATCGTGTCGTGCCGACTAGCTGCCACCGATCCGTATGATTTGTAATTTTTAACACCTTTCAAAGTAAACATGTTATACAAACAAGATCTCCATGACTAAAAGCTAAGTCATTTTGGTGCTTGGTCATAATGTCATGAATAAATGATGTCCAATTAAAATGTAAAATTAGTCAGGCAATTTCACAAATTTGGCCCGACAATGTCCGATGACAGACTACTTAATTTTTTTTTCTTCATCTTCAGATGACCAACTGTTATTTCCAGCACTGGGTCCCCAATTTTCATCCTTGCAATTAAATCAAAGCAAAGCAATAGAGCCAAAAAATTGAAGTGTGTAAACTGTCTTGTGGAAATTAGCCAGCTATTCAGGCAACAAATAATAATTATCACTGTCATACGGGCGCTAGTTCGAGGATTTAAGGTATATGTAAATCTACTCTTAGTTCTCATGAAAACTATAGCATAGGGACATTGGCTAAGCTTACTCATTCTATTCAGTTGATGCAAGTTAATTTTAAATTCAACAGGTAACACTAAAATTTGAACATCTATGATTACATACAGATAAAAATACTACAAAAATCCTACTACACCAGTACTCTTTTACTCTTCATTTACACTCACAGGTTTTATATTGATGAGTTTTTTCAGCACATTTCCACTGTTTTCCAAAGCTTGCAAAGGAAGCCTGTAAAAAATACAAGGAAGAATTAAGCTGATGAAAAGCACACATCTTTACAAATTGGTGCAAGTTTTTAAACTGTGAAAGGGACGTCTGGAACAGAACAAGAACATCATACCAAGATCTATACAAGTAAACTACTGCATGTCTAATGTCTCTGGTTATTATCACTCTGGTTATTACACATATAAATGATTGTACATGCAATAATCATGCACCCACTATACAGCCCTCTTGTGCCCATTCGTGAGGGTTCACCCATGAGGGTAAAATTTTTCTTCCTCTAAACATACGTAGCAGGGTTTTCAATACATCGTTTTAGCAGGCGGGCATCAGGGTATGGCAACTGGGCAAAAAAAATGCAAGGCCTTGCCAAGCTAAGGGATCAGAGTAAAATTTTGCAAGTGCTAGAGTAGAAGAGGAAGCATCTTTCTTCAATTTGGAACACAAAATCTGTAAATTTGGGTGAACTTGCTTCACTATTTGAAGATACAAGGGAGATAACGTGTACTATAACCAGCAAAATCACATTTTCTATGACTTGAAATAAGCTTATTTTTCAGACGACTGTTAGCTACAGAGATATAGCATGGGACAACAACAATACTATATAATTATTAAATTAATGACGAAGCAGCTGGGCCGAGTTCTGTTCACAGGCGGTCATTTGTCCCAGTATCCAACCCTTAATAAAACCTCTGATGGCAGAAATAGAGCCAGTTGTCATGTGCAGTATCTTTGTAAGACACATACCTTTTCGCTGGGTTTGTCAGGATATCATACAGATGCTTTAGTTTGTACAGATCCCTGCTGCTATGTTCTGCAACAAATGACAAGCACCTCACTCATTCAATAATTAAAATCATTTTACAAAATTTTCCACCTCTGTTCTGTTTCTTTTCACAGACAAAGAAAACATAGCACCGCAGCACCACTGTTTTCTAAATGATTTTAACATATTGAACTGTGAATTCTATACATTGCTATGTCCAGTTCCATACCGGACACTCTCACTGTGTACCCTGACTAATCAGTGTAAACACAAAATACATGTGCATAAAATAAAAAATACATATATAAGTTTAGCTCTTTAAAATGAAGCTATGATAGAAATGGGTCTCTAACAAGCAGAATAAGCTGATAGTCAGGATTTATGAACCACAAACCTTTGTCTCTCATATCTCTATTCATCTTGTTTATCATCCTTCTAAGTGGTTCAACATAGGGTTTCAGTTCATTTAACTGTATCAAAGATCAGAGAATTTCATATTAGACTTCACACTGTCCTGTTATAAAGATGTAAGTTGTACTGCCCAGGAGATCCAATTAAATCAAGATAATGATGAAATCATAATGTACTGCCACACAGTATTTATCTGGGCCTCTATAGGAACACAGCAAAATGAGAATCACCAATCAATTGGCAATTCTCGTTTTTCAAGTCCTTTTTTTTTGAGGGGGGGGGGGCACAAAACTTTTACTAAGTCATGTTCTTAAAATCACATGAAAGTTTCATTAACTTGACTTTCTCCCAAGAATTTTACAAAAACAAATGTTTGGGTAAATCAAGTTCATGCACACACCTTGTCCAAATATGCTTGTTCCTCAGCTGGGTTCAGAGGGGCAGGGCTGGGGGCCCCTACAGAAGATGGGTTTGGTACAGAAGCTGGTGACTGAACACTCATGGTGCTCGGGGTAGGGACTGATGTAGAGGGAGCTGGTGATGCTGCTATGCAGTGCTAAACAGAAAACCAATCATATATATCAGTATGCTATAACCAAACAGTATACATTACAAAGACAGTTAGTGACACTTTTAAGACTAAAGTTTGCCGAAAAGTATGATATACAAACTAAAAACAACGTGGGCCAAAGACTGATTGAAATGATTTCCAGTGCTTCCAAAGACAAATAAGGCCCATTAATTACATACTGGACTTTTATGTCATTTCCTAATACATACTCATCTTCAAGAGATCATCAAATGAAAGTAATACCCACCCAGGTACATGTTATACCAGACATTTGACGTTATTTACCTCTTAAGCCCATTGGCACAAACCTACATTTTACAATAACTGTCTAATTTTTTGCACACTGATTGGCTCATTTTTATCATCAATAAGAGTAAAAAAGGATACAATTTTAATTTATGCAAGTTTCCAAGTTCAACTTTCAGCTGTCAAACTGTCAACTTTTGAACCAATGAGAATTTATGGACTTTTTCAAGTGGCCAATCAAAAAGCAAGAAAAGCTGTTGAAAATATTTGCGTCATTTTGAATAAAATTCACTTATCTTTGTTTATGGCAAGTTTACYGCGTCTTTTCCCCTCATTTATTCCAGGCATTTGACCATTTTGGGGTCTTGTTATTGTAAAAGACAAATTGACGTCCACTCAGTTTTTTATGTCTGTCCTCTTATTGATGATAAATTTTGTCATAACACTGTCAAAGTTTACTGTGGAACCACTTGCCTGTGGTTCATGGTTCTACAGCCACTTTGACAATGTTATGACACAATTTATCATCAATAAGAGGACGGACGCATAAAAAACTAACTTCAATTTGATAATTTGAATCTTACATGAGTGGACAGCCTGGCTTAAGACCAGGAACTTTGAGTATCTACTTCTTTGAGTATCTACTTAGGAGCTCTAGGTGCCTGCCAATGGAAGCTTAATAAATAATGTTGTGTTTCTATGTGGCTGGGATCATGACCAAGTGTTTACTTACAATAGCTGTTTACATACAGGTGTCGGTTAGTGCGATTCAGCTGTACTTTTTGTTTAACTCCCAAATGAAAACAACTTTTCAACATCACTCCTGGTCTGTCCTGTACCATCCTACCCAGCTACAGTACCACTTTCAAGTAAGTTACAGTATCACGTCTTGCTCGTCTCCGAGAAATGAGATGCATTTTGTAAGTAATGAGACGTGTCTTGTAAGAACAAGATGCATCTCATTTTTCTCAAGAACCACTGAACTGTGTATTTATAATGGAATACTGGTAAATAATTTGTGAAATGCTGGCATACACAAGTAAGTATGTTTCGAAGATTTCTCCCCCACAAAAAAATCAACTGAGTCAAAGCAGTGCTCGCAAAAAGTGCCATCCGGGTCATCTGGGACACATAGATTTTCCTTCTGGGCAAGTAACATTTCATTCTCACTTGCCCGATGGGCAAGGGATCAGGCAAGTCATCTACCAACTAAATCATTAGAGGTGCAAACTAAAATTTGCCCAGGGCAAGCTGGAATTCATGAAAAGTTCTTTTTAGCCCCTGCTAAGGTACATGTACATGTATGTATGATCAACAAAATGTGTCATGAACTTTGGTTATAGAAAGAAAAGTTTGTTTCCATGCTCAGTAGGGTACATGTAGTTGTTACTTAAAACTCCTGTCTAGTTCTGGAAGCAAAAAGTAACAAGGAGTACTTCTACTTTGTCTAGATGCATGGAATAAAAGTCCACTACAAGTTACCTCACAGTACAGTATTTTGTTCATCTTCCTTAAGTCAATCATGAAAGCTAGAATTCGAGTTAACTGAAGGTCCATCAGTCAAAGTAAAGTGCACACCCAAATTATTGCAACACTGATTTATTATATACAAATTTATACAGTCAAATTACAGCTTACAATTGTGTGACCAGATGTCACATAACTGTAATGCAATAACTATTCCACACCCTGGGTATAGACAGATCAGACAGATGCTAAGTCTCACCTGAGGGGAGGGTGAAGGATGCATGGCTGGTGAAGGTACAAATGGTGCCGGTGATGGAGCCACTGTGGCCTGGTTTGTAAGAGATGAAAGCTGGCCGGATGATGGAGTAGGTGCTCGCATTGAACTAGATGCCATGCTAGTTGGTCCAGGGGCTGGAGAGGGGACATGTGGCATTCTCACTGGACCAGCAAGCTTCACTTGTTGTGGTACTGCAGATTATTAAAGCAGACATGAATTAATGAGCACACTCAGGACAAAGATGACTGTTAGGAATTTGAGTCCAGTTTAGATCAGGGGTTTCATTATGGGCCGGTCACCAGTCTGGTCATGAGGACGATTTTGCCTGATCTAGCAGAAAGTTTTTCAAGAAGTTCAGTTCAAATAGCTTTGCCTGCCTATGAAAACCAGTTTCCCTCCTGCAGAACACATTTAATGAAACCCCTGGTTGGGATGAAAATGCCTTTGTTGTCCATATCAACAGGTGTCTGCATTAAGCACTTTAATTGACAGCGACCAAAAGCACTCTGACTAATTATGGCATGTCTGTATTTATTAGGCTGTAGGTGCCCATAGAACAGCTTGTTACATGTAGGTATTTAACACTCCATTCCAAGCTCACTAGTACCAGCAGATTACTCCATTTCTATAATATGAAAAAACCTACAAGTATTACTTAATATTTTGTATGATCCAGCATTTTGTCAGGTTTAGAACTCTGAAAATAAATAACTATTCAATCCCATTCACAGTATGTTGTATACTTGTGACTGGAGAGATTCAAATGAATGTGATGGTCAAAGTGTTTTTTCCAAGATGATGTGAGACTCCAACCAGGGCTGGGATGTAGATCCTGAGGTCTGGAATTCACTCGCCTGCAAATGCAGACGTATTTCTGGCTGTCGCTCGTCTCCGCCGAAAAATAACGTCTGCAAACCCGAGCCAGGAAACGATTTCTCTGACGTAGGAATTTTAAGCCAATCACAGTTTAGCTCAAGTAGCCCCAGAACTACTGCACGAGGTATTCGCTGCGAGGAGCACTCAAGTTTCATTTTATCATGGAATCTGATTGGCCAAAGAGAAACAAAAGTGATTACGTCACAAATCGTTTCCTGGCTTGGGTTCGCAGACGTTATTTTTGGCGGCGACAAGCAACAGCCGAAATACGTCTGCGTTCACAGGCTAGGAATTCACTGCCTTTCCCAAAATGATGCAAGACTCCTGCCAGGGCTTCATGTACTATTCAGAACATCTCTCAACCTGGAATTCGCTGGTCATCTACTACCTTGTTTGGAGTTCAACTGTAGAGCATTATCAAGTTAATAATAATTGAACAAACCTGGATGTCCACCTTGCTGTTGTGCCATGGGAGATGCTACCTGGTTGGGGGGTATATGGGCCTGTGATTGTGTCATCTGGTGATGTGCCCCTTGATTCTGTGATGCAACACTGAGACCTTGCTGTGGCATAAGAGATTGAGTTGGCAGTTGATGTTGTTGTTGTTGTTGTTGTTGTTGTTGTTGAGCACGCAGATGTTGGGCAAGAAGCTCTTGTTGTGTAAGCCCTGATCTGTTGTAGAAGACAGGCGGCTGTGGTGTCATTGGTGTCTGTGACACCTGTGTCAGAGGCACCTGTTGCATATTGCCTTGTGCTCCCATAGTACTGACTGTTTGTGGTTTGTTGAGCTGAGGAGAGGAGAATTGTGGCCTCATACCAGGCTGTGGATTCATGTTTGCTGCTGGTGCTTGTTGCTGTCCTGGTGCAGTAGGCCCTAAAAATTGTCAACACAGGTTAGCAGGCTAAAGCCAATAGAAAAGGAATATTAAGTTTTAATTAGAAAATACCCTTTTAGAAGCTACAAACATAAAGCTGTGTGCAATTGAATATGTGGTCAATTTGTCCTCTAGGAAAGAATGATTTCAAACTGTAGGTTTATTTGTGTCACAGGGGAAGGGGAGTAAATTAGCTAACATATATGTGACAAATGGTCTCGTAAACTGACAAACTTCTTGGATGTTGAGTTAGTGTTGCTAGTAAGCCACACAAAAAATTCAGCTAGAGGTAGGCTATGCTTGGGCCTGCCATATCCCATACACATGATAGTACAGTCTGACAGAAGTACCTTGACAGCAGGACACTGAACATAACACAGCGGTTTTCAGTAGAAAGTAAATCAAAGATAAGTTAACATAACGGCAATGCTTTTCAGTCCAGTTTGTTCCAGGATGAATATTTTGTTTGTTTGTTTGTTTGTTTGTTTTTTTAGGATGAATCATGCCCAACTTTCATTTAGTTTTGACAGTTTAATGAGGGGCCTGGAAGCATCAAATAGAAACTCTGGCATTGCCTTACTTTTTCTCTGGGAAAACGAGATTTGGGTCACTAGGATTCGGGTCACTGGAAATGGCACAGGACTAGGATTTGGGCAAACATAGGCTGGGAAATAGGATTTGGGCAAAATCTGGGCTAGGAAATGGGATTTATACCTCCATCATCTTCAGGACCCCCCTTTAACCATGAATACACTATGAGATGTACAGTGGTCTGCAAACAGGCTCCCGGCAAGGACTGAAAAGTACAGCACCATTCAGAACTAAGCAAACGTCGCACGCGCATTCTTAACGCACCCTTTAAAACGTGTTAAAAAGTGGTGAACAAAGCAGGACTCCAGCTCAAACAATTGCGTAATTTAAATTATGTAAATTCAAATCAAAACACAGTGAATTAACAAGCGCAGTTGGAAAATACAGCTTTGTACCTCTTCCACTAAAATAAGGTGCCCCGATGTTGACAAGAAGACAACAAAATTCGAACCCTTTTGCATCAAACCACTGATCACTAGTTGGCCTGAAAATTTGAACTATCTTTAATTTCTCCTTACAAACTTTTCTCGTATTCTTCCAACATCCTGTATGGTTCAACCACAGAAATTCGTGGTCTGCAGATTCAGCGTGCATTCTGTCACGACACAGTCCGTTGTTCTAACGTTCGATCATTTCTGCCTATTCTATTGCCCCATTGAAAAATATTTCAAGTTTACGCGCAAAAATGACTGTTCTATCTGAGGAAATTTTCTGTAGATGAAGCTTACTACTTGTTGATACGAAACTGAAAGCATTTTCGTAGCGTGTGTATAGAAATGTCCGTGAGCGATGTAACTTGCCTATGTTAGTTTAGCGTGCCAGTATCACACAACTGAAAGATATTAAGTTGGCAGGTTCTTAAAAAACCAATAAGCAAGAAAAGTACACTTACCCTGGTTTTGGCTTTGGAGAAAACTTGGCTTTCCATTTCACCAGGGTTTTTCATCATAACGTTTGGGTTGCCCGATCTTTTTACTGCCTCCTCGCTACAAAACGGAAGTACGTAAGTTAAAGAATGTAAAACCTTATAAATTTAACAAAGTTCAGGCAGCTATGAATAAGCGAAAAAGTTCTTAAACAGCAGGCATTGTTCACTCGATTAAGTTTAGTACTTACATTTGAGAAATAACTTTCTGGCGAAAAGCTGGAGTACGCCAGTCTTCGTTCGCCGCCATATTGATGTTGTTCGGTAAAGTCATGCCGAGACTTCCTCGGTTATGTGTCACTTCCTCTCCCTCGTTTTACGTAAGAGGTGAGACAAATGACGTAGAACGTATGCGGCTGACGCGAAAATTATTGATCAACCTGGAAACCAAACTAACTTTTGAAAAACTCATAGGCGCACAACTGAAGGGACAACAGACTCGTCATATAGAGGCAAAGGTTTGGACCCTGGGCAATGTACTGGCAAGGCTCGGATAAAACACACGAGGCTATGGAGTCACCAGATAAGGGCTTCATTCCTGTATCGGCAAGACGGACATAGTCGCTTGCATAATATCCTGGAGGACTGTCGATAAAATAACATCAAGTGACAACAGATCATGATCTCTTGATAGCATGGAACATTTTGAATCATCAAAAAAATTAAATGATTAACATAAAATTAAAGAAATAATAATGGAAAAAAAAAAGAAATACGTAAAACAAATATAAAATAACTAAATGAAAATAAAATTATGTAAACACAAGAGAAAATTTTCTCTTGGTAAACACTATCCTCATTGCTTTCCTTATTTCGCTGTTTTGGTTATTTCGTCGTTCAATTTTATAGATTTTCTCCTAATTATTAAAGTTTTTTGATGTTCCGGAATGTTCCATGTTCCTGATTATATCAACGGGCGTTCTTGGCTGCATTGACAGCGATTCCCCGTCCAAAACACAGCCTTTTGGAGCGTGATCAAAACTACAAGTTGTCACTGCAGGTGAATTCCATGCTTCTGAAGAAACCGAAAAATACGAGGGTGATCGAACGCAGCCTATAACAAAGAGGAGTCAATGTCAGAAGAAAAAAAGGTTGCAATTTGGTATAGATTTCGTTGAGAACAGAAATTGTAACGGGGTAGTGATGAAATCTCTTTGAGGCGCCAAGGGAAGTTTGATCCTCTCAAGGTTTTGTAGAGAACGGGCATTGAGGCTAGGTCAAGGGACAGCTACTACCGCCAGATAAATTTTGATTGAGCCATAAGACACGGTGTTGGATAGCCGATTAAGGTTGAGTTACGAGATGACTATGGGTGGACTCATGAGTAACAAGTAAAAAAGGGGTTCTGAGGGGAAATACGTTTTTTTACGATAACTACAGAAATTCTCGCGCGCTCATTGGTTAAATTTCATTGTCAATATACTGACCGACACATGAATTTATAATTTATGCAATGTGTCAACAAGCGAGAGCGGACGATTTGACAATTTGTTATAGTGAAAAACAAATCGACGTTAGTTTTTCATTCGTCTGTCCTGTTATTGACAATGAATTTCGTCATAACATTGTCAAAGTAGTCTGCGGATTCACTCGGCTATCGCCTTGTGGATCCATAGCTACTTTGATAATGCTATGACGAAATTCATGATCAGTAACAGTACAGACGCATGAAAAACGGACGTCAATTTGTTGAGTGGAAAAAGGCAAAAAAGAATAAAATGGCGCTGTGCAGGGGAGTATGTTCGACGAGTTGAGGTGGCGATGGACTTGAAAATGTACAGAACAGCCTGCACTGCAAGACTTTGGTGAGGAAACTGAGGGTTCGGGCAGGGAACAGGCCAGAAGTAGGCCATGCATCTGGTCGAGAAGATGAAAGCGGGACATGTGGCGGTGTTGAAGACCGCTCAATATCTGACAGATTTTTAATTTTGGGCAGATCGCATTTCGTCATGCGAAACGACGCCAAAATCTAAACTGCTCCCCAGTCCGTTTTATACTGAAACACAGTCAAATTTCGATAATAGTCCCGACTAAACTTTTTTCAAAAAACGAATTTTTAAGAAATTTTGCTGTTAAAAAATGGGTAGGGAGATATATCATAACTGAAAAGAAATGGGTATTTATCTTATACTCTAGGATAAAACTAGGGGAAAAAACAAACTTTACGTTATCAAATCTCTACGAAATCTCTTGATTTCCTATTAACCATTTTAGAGTTACTTGCAAACCACTTGTAAGCTTTACTAAAATTGGTTTCATCACATTAAGGCGGGGGTGAAAGGAGCTCAGTCACGGTTTACACATTTTGAAAAGTTTAGCCTAAATTTTTCAAATTCGTCGTTTGTAATCCGTGTCAATCTTCGTCATCCTTGACCATCCTTGTTCCTTTATGGTTTATTATTATCTCTTTGATGTTTTTCTATCTTAGTAAACTATTATTTTCAGGTTTCCTTCCATTTAAAGGAGATTTTGTACGTGGCCAAAAAAAGGCAAAACACCGTGACTGAGCTCCTTTAACATGAAGGCTGTATTTTGGCTGGGTATTATAGTTTAAACGCAAATATCTCGTTCACGTTTCAAGCGGTCAAAAATCTCTCTGCTCATCCCACGTACCTCTGTTTGGGCTGTTTTGTAAATTCTTTGGTGATTTTTGGGTATATTTGGTTATAAATAGTTTTTCTCGAAGGATTAGTAAAATTTATGGAAATATGAAAGTTTGAAGATTCGTTGTGTTAGAATTAGAATTTGAAGTTAGAAATTGGTAGACGTACACCGTCTGAAAATGTCTGCCCTCTTGGAATTGAACTAACTTTTGTCACGAAATATAAAGATAAATCGTTATAAAATCCAAATCTTAAGTGAAAATATATTTAAACTTCAAAGCCGATTTTAAACTTGGATATTACCCGCTTTGTAAACATGGAGATGTCAAGTCCGATGACCAAGCAATTAACACACCAAGGTGTTCGCTGATAGATTTTAGGGAAAATCGCAGAGTGTGTGCAACCTCGTCCCCAGGGTCTTCTCCTCGACGATTTTCAAACTCTCCCGCCCGCCATTTTGAAAAGAGGAGAAGGCCCTGGGGACGAGGATTAGAGTGTGGATCAGTTTAGGATAATTTGAAGTCAGCGCGGTAACTTTAAGCTATGAGCCCTTTACTTCAAAATTATAAGATCCAGAGCCAGTGTGGTCTCCAAGCTGGGGAGTGAGGGGGTTTGCTTTGCAGTTTTTAAGAGAAACGAAGTCTGTGTAGCAAACATCCCTTTCCGTTTTTCGGGCGCGGAGATCGAGCTAGCGAGCGAGCAAACGAGCGCGCCTGGGGTGAGCAAAAAATGGGGAGAAGTAGGGAGGGGGCGAGCGAGAAGAGGGAGAATGTGTGTGGAAAGGAATACTCCTTATTTTTTCGCACTCGCTCGCAGTTTTGTTCCCTTTACGAGCTAATGGACGCCTGCTATGCAGGCTAGGAGAAACGATGGAACAAAACAAAAAATTCTCTGTACAAATTTTATCCATTGAAATACAGCCATATACATCATGTTTCAAGGACTAGATTTTCCGAGTGTTTAACACAGCATGACTAGGTAGATTAAAACTAGTAGCAAACGTGGATTCATTTGATGAAATCCATGCAACAAATGAACTATATACCCAATTCCTAAAGGGTGTCGACACGCCTTACAGCACTGCTTCAATTCTTGACCTAACTTGGCTCATCAACAGCATTTGCAAAGTGTTTGGAACACTGCACTGTTGCCATGAATGTCAAAGCTGTTCTCGTGCCAGTTACCGCCCTGGGCGTGATTAACATTAACAATATTCTGTCTGTTCTGTAGGCGTGCGGCACCCCTGAGGACCTAAACAACTATCCTGTTCTATGATAATTCGCTCTTAGAGTGGTTTTTGGCGAGAGCTGCAGCGGACTAATTCAGTAGCACTTTATTAGGTAACACCACCACAAGTATATGACGCTTACAGGCTGATTTGCTTCAGTGGCAGGCAAGAGAGAGAGAGAGAGGAGGGGGGGGGGATTTTTGAGGCCTTCATCTTGTAACTTTAAGACCATTATAGCTATGAAAATGAAAACAAAAAAGGAAAAAACGGTCCAATAATGTTTTCTTTGAGGTCCTTAACATGGAACGATTATGTCACGCGACTTAGAAATAACGCCACCATTTCTGAACGGCCACCATCTTGAATTTTATGATTCTTAGTAAAACGCTAGAAAATCGCAAAAATGATTCGAAAAAGTCAAAACCGATACAGAAAGTTAAAATTACCAAAGAGGGCTGCTGCAATAAAGCTCAATTATATTTCGTAAAAACAACAAAATTCAAAATTTGAAAAACATGCCAATCAAAATATGGTTGCATGGAAAAAATCAAGAACATTGATTTTGATAATATATGCCAAGTTGTTCAGAGGACCGTTTTATCGAAAGTCGCCACATTTGGAGTCCATTGCTTTGATGCTTTTAAAGTTACAAGCCTTCAATGTCGGTGAAGGTCTCAAAATTCTCCCTCCCCCCAAACCCACACTAGTATGAATAGGGTTATAACAGGCAGATGAAATATTCAGCTAACAAAAGAGTAGATTACGATAAATATTTACCGCCTCGCAGGACAGAAATGAGAGAATGATTGCATCTAAAGCACTGGGCACACGGTGCACCTTTGCACAGCGTTTGTCCCTCACATCACTCTACGTCTTAAATATTGTTATCTGCGTGAAACAACTGTGTGGACACGAGCTGCTATTCTCTCGTGAGAAATATCGCACGGTGTTTCCGAGGCCTTAGTAGATGTTCAACATATGCACGGTTTGGCCCTTAGCGTCATCAATCTTGCCTGGTGTACCTTATAACATTGCCTATACAATAATAGTGGCTGTTGAAGCTAACTCTTCTATGGTGAAGCTTATTAACAAGTTAACGCTTTTTGCCCTACGCGCGGCACCAACCACTACAAATAAAGATCGCGACTGATACAAATCATCACGCTCTGTATTAAGATTTCTTTCAAAGTTTTGAACGATTTTAAGAAACCTTTGAAAATATATACTTACTCTCCTTTTTCGAATAAAATACGTTCAATAATCTCTTATCACAAACTTGTTGTCCCGTGTAAGACAGCCAACAGGTAAAAATCACGCATCGTAAAACACTCACTGCTTAGGTTTAGTTTTCCACATTAAATTTAGTTTAAAAACTTTGTATTTTTGATATTTTTAACTTGTTTTGCTGACTATTTTAGACGGGAAAACGATCAGTACAAACATGTGGTAGAAGATAAATTTGTTACAAAATTACGCATACGAATGGTCTTACGTTTTAAAAATCTACTACCTACTATCGGTACTCTTTACAAGCAATACTGGTTGTAATCTAACTAGTCAAATAAAATTCAGCGGGGTTACTACGAACCTCCTTTGCAGGCGTTATTCGGGTCGTCACACAACACTCCGTTACAGGTAGTAGCGTTGCGTGACATCCCCAAGGAGGCTAAAGCTGTCGCTTGAGCACAGTTCACAACAATATCATCATTGTATCTATGATTATGCTACTTCGTTTTAAAAAAGGATTAAATGATAATCAAGATCAGGTAAGCCAGGTTTTCAAATTAAAAACAAAGGAACGCCTTCTACACGTTCTGCAGTCTTATTAAATGCAAAAGAAAAACCTTTCAGTCTAAAAATCGTATAAACGACATTGGGTTTTAGCTTCATGATTCTTGCAGCAAGGACTTTTTTTATAGCAAAGACAAAAAGTTTAGGTAGCCACAGCGCATTCCCCACAAAGGAAAACAAGACACCCCCTAAAAAGTTGAAATTGAAGAATTGACTACTACGTCTCTGTTCACTAAACGAAAAAAAATGATTTGGCGAAAAGTTGGTATCTTAACTTATTCCTGGCCTTTCCCTCTATTTTTTTTCCTGTTAATCGACATCATACATTGATGTAGCGATAACTACAGGATACTTCTTTCTTTCCAGAACCATTTGAGTTACACATTGAAAGAAAAATAAAAAACTTAAACAAATTGAAATTGGCTTTTTTTTTTTCACAAAGCTGCTGATTTGAATGCAAAAAAAAAAAACAAGGTGTAGTTTCATAATTCGTTTTTCCTCATTACATAGAACAAAGATTAACGCGGCTCAACTCTCTCGGATAAATATCTTAGGAATTTAGCTCAAAATTGACTGATAAGGCGAAACTGTGTAACACAATTTAGTGCTGGCGTGATACGAACTAGGGATCGCCAAATATCACTAAAAATGTGAATATACTTTAAGAAATAATAGATTATCAAGAAACATAACAGATAAGAATAAATATAGGGTACTCGATTTCTTTGTGAGTACGCATTCAAATTTCACTTTAGATTGGTGAATCAATTTCTCTTTTTTTCAGCCAGGCCTCTAATGTTTGGCCCTCTCTACTTCGTCAAGTCCTGATCATTTTGATTTTCTAAATGACCATAAGATATAAACGTTGAGATCGCAAACGGGAACGTTGTGAATTTATTATTTTGTGAAATATAACAACATACATAATAATTTAAATGATCAGGACCTAACTTGAACATCATCTAACTTGGCAGTTTAGTTTCACCACTTTAAATATCTACAACAGTTGATAAGTTATTAGAGTGGCAAAACTACTCGTTTCTCTCTCCACATTCTTGGCTGTGCGTGGCGCATGCTCACGAATAAAATCTCTTGGATTTATTATTAATTTTTCTTTTGAGAAAACTTAAATAACTTCACACGTTCGTTGTCTTAAACTAAAACACTACCAGTGCACTATTTTTTGCTTGTTTCTTCTTGCTTGCATCCGTCACTTATAAAGTGGCGTAACAAGTGATACTAAATTCCCTCACAAAACCAGCGATGAAATGCTGATGTCTAAGTTTTCTCAAAGTAACGAGGAGCAGATGAAAGCAACGATAGCTCGTCTTGAAGAATAGACCGAGTACGCGGTGTCCGTCAGCGACGTTGCTTGGCAACCTGACGCATCCTCAATGCACATGACTGAAATGAATCATATATCGTACTTCTAAGCGCGCCACGCAATTTAATAAAACACTCAATCAAAATGTCTCATGCGCCTTCATCTGCTCGTCGTAAAAGGCCAGTTTTTGAAACTGACAAACAAAAAGACACATTTTTCATACAACAAATCAGATCAGTCGAAAAACCAGAAAAAGAAACGTATTAAAGAGTGACATTTGATGTCATTTACATACACAGAATAACGAATACTCCGGGGGGCATGAGAGAACTGCTAACCATGTTTTTCTAGTCCTATGACGCTACACTGTAGTTTAACTTGATACCCAAATATACCTTAACTATTCCATACCTTACTTTGTGCAGAACCGTGCATTTTATCTATTTCAGTAACGTTAACTTGTCCAAGATAACGCCAACATGACCGTTCCTTTTTGATCTACAAATCTCACTAATCAGCAAACATTATAACTACGTCCTCTGGGACAAACATTGAAGGAATTTTCAAGTTGAAGACCTTTGGAGCACATAGAGAAAAACCCTTGTTTGTGCCACTATGATGTTACAAATTGAGAAGGGAGATTTTCACCGTGATTCTGGAAATGCTTCTTGACTTTCGTCATCAAATTTTAAGACAAAGTTCTCGTTTATTCCATGTTGCTTTCTTGTTTTTACTGTTTTTGTTTTTAATAATGTTAGTTGATTATTGTTTTTAACTGAAATCACAATGTTCCAATGTGGCAATACTCTTGAAAATTCCTTTAATTTTGATTGAAACTATAAACAAGCACGTGCCTAATCTCGTGCTAATCATGTGCTTGTTTTTCAGGAATCAAACAATGACCCTGAGTTGCGGTGTATCTGGACTCTGGAATGGGAGTCGGGTTGATTTTTTCACATACATTCTGTAGCAATAAAACTGGCCTTGATAACCGCCAAACACTTGTCCCACCCTTCCGTTTAAACCCTACTACACCTGAATTACAGAAAATTGTGTGCGTTGTATATCTAAGAAAAAACCTTACACCCTTATAGGAACCAAAATTTATATCTCTACAACTACGTTAAAATTAAGACGAGTTCATTAAAACTGTTTCCCTTACTTCTTTCAGACACTAAGCAGGGATAATTTTTTGATATAAGACGCCTCAGAATCAATGTGGTTTTGTACCTTCATTGTGAAACCTTATGGCGGCAACATCAAAAGCAGAATTCTGACTTGAAACAAGTTTGTAACATTGACACTTGAGCAGAGTCCCAGGAAGAAGTCTGAAAAGAACCCAGTAAAATACCACATCAGAGCTGTGAAAATAAATATCAGTATTAAGAAATAAGTAACCAAGATTTCTTTTGAAGTTAGCTCAGCGGAGAGTTGCGCGCGAATTAGAAAGACTTGGGACTGGGCCAGGAAAAAGTCGTAACTCGCTCCAGACTCCTTGCAATCAGCGATTTTCCGAAGTTTGCAAGCTGAGCGCATGTATTTTGTAGGCCTGGACAAAATTTTCAAATTCGTTACGTACCACTGCTTCTTCAGTGCCCAACTGCAATCTGAAACAAAGAGGGAAAACAAAGATAAGTAAAGTTGCCATGAACGTTGGAATTTATGCGGTGTAGAGCGCTCGGAAAGTTGCGTGTAAAAGAGTCCTTAACGGGTAAGTGTGGGATGAACTAGAAAGCTAAGCTTAATGATGCAGAAATGATACTGGAAGGAACAGCTTCCTTTTCCGCTGTTCCTTCCAGTAGTCAGAATTTTGCTTTTTCACAAAGTTTATGCGTAAATAAGGGAGATACGTGTTTACAAAAACTGTTTTTGTCATTCAAATTTGGAGGCCTTGAAACAAAAGAACAGCCAATAGTTGTCTGTGACCTTTGCAGTTGTCACCTCAGTTTCAGGTGGTTAGACGTGTCAAGTTGAGGTTATTTATTTCAATCAACTGCAAATTTTTGTGGTGAACTTCAGAAGCAGTATATTTAACAACTTGACGTCAGTTTTTCGTGCATCTGTCCTGTTAGTGATCATGAATTTCGTCATAACATTGTCAAAGTAGCTGTGGGTCCACAAGGCGATAGCCAAGTGGATCTGCAGACTACTTTGACAAATAGTTATGACGACATTCATTGTCAATTATGGGACAGACGCATGAAAAACTGATGTCAATTTGTTTTTTACAATAACAAATTGTCAAATTGTCTGCTCTCACTTGTTGCCTCCACATCACATACATTATAAATTCATGTGTCTGTCTGCTTATGACAATGAAATTTAGCTAATGAGCATGCAAGAATTCCTGGTTATTTTAAAAATCTGTCTGGATTTGTGAAAAGCTGTCAAGAATGGTGTAAAACTTTTTCATCTGACCACTGGCAATAGCTGGTAGTCATGCCTGTGCAGCAATTGAAAACCCAGGGGGGCTTCTGCAAAGAAGGGTTGTAGCAGAGAGCCCAGGGTTGCCCAGGATCCTGACTACCAGCTAGCACCAAGCCACCCCCAAGGGTCTTAACCCAGGAGAATGGGTTGGTCACAGAGAGAGGCATTTTTGGCTAAAACTTTAGCTGGTCATTTTCTTTGCAGGACAGCCTTGGCCAACCATGCTGTGCAGGCTTAGGTACCTGCAGCCAGACAGCCACACACAGGCAAGGTGGGTGAGTAGGTTGTGTAGTGACGGACTGCCTGTGATTGATTGATTGAAAACAAAGCCTGTCCATTTTCGTGAAAAAGTGGCAGGCTCATTAATGTGTTGAAATTAATGCAGTTTTCATAAATCCAGACATAAATATACACAAAACAATCAACTTACAGTACTGTGTAAACAAATTTCACTGAAATTCAGCTATTGTTCACAGACATGTATACCAAAACTTTGCTTCATTTTTTAAAAAAAAAAAGTATATATATATATATAGATAGATATGTTTAGAACTTTCCAGTTCCACAGAACTACACCTTCGGAAACCAATAGCAGATAAGCTAAAGATGCCCACAAGTAGTGAAGGGTGCACTCATTTTTGCTTCTGGGTTTCAGAGGGTGCCTGGATTCACTTCTGTTTACATCAGTATGTATTGTACAAACTCAATTTGGAAAGTTCTATACTGCAGTTATAAATGATGTAGCTTCAATCAAGAAGACCATCTGTGGTACAAGGTAACAGAAAGTGAATTTTTATTCTTAACTATTAGAATACTTACAGTGATGCACTCCTCCGTCAGAACTGTCAAAATAAATTGGATATTGATAATTAATCACTTGGATTGCACCACGTATCCAGAATACTGCTACCCACGTTGTTTTGGTGCTATGTATCAAAACAAGTCAATTTTGGTTTTTTTCTTTGACTTTAGCCTTTACACAGTTATGTACAAGACAAATAAGCTGTTCTTAAGGACGAGAGGAGGCATCTACCATTCTAAGGTAATTTACATGTACACATGTTAATTTATGCAAATAGATAATTATGCTATTTTTTAATAAATGTTAATTTTATGCTGAATTTTTAGTATTGATTTATAATGAATATGCAATGAAATGGATACTGACTAAGAAAAGTTTCAGATTTTCATTTTGTTTATATTTAAAGTAAGATTTATTAATGGCTCCTTGTTTATAAATTAAGTACTTTGTGTACTGTTGTAGGATTAATTTTGAAGGAGATCTTAACTGTATTGTTCGTCGTAAAAAGAAAAGTTTCAATCACTTACTGCCATGGCATGGCCAAAGCCTGTAGGCTGAGGACTGGTGGCTGTATATCCCAAACCATCTGCTGTAGTATTTGTGGCAGAGTTGATATAACTGCTAAGGTCTTGAACAGGTCCTGGGCTTGTCGCAGCTGTTGCAAATGCTCTCGACACAGGAGAGGGTGGGGGTGGACCAAATGCCTGGGTTGGGTAGTTCATACCTGTTTATAAATTGGTAGATTAACGAGTTTAGAACTGAATATTAATGATTTTCTTTTTTTTCATTGTAATATAGCTATCAGGTTAATAAAATTTGGAGCTGACTTATTGTGTGTATCTCAGGCTGAATTTAGCCCTTTGTGCTCTTGTTTAGAGTGCTTTGTAATATGTTTCCTTATGATTTGTTTATAATGAAAATTACCATCTACTATGGAAAGGATGATGCCATAAATGACACAAGAACCATAGTCTCTCAAGGCTGTTTTGTTTTCTTGTGAGTAGCATGGTGGCCTAATGGTAAGTGCACTATATTCTGGATCAAGTGAAACAGGTTTAAATCCTGGCTAGGGTCATTATGTTTTGTTCTACAGCAAGACTCTTCCCTCTCACAAAGCTCTCCACCCCGGTATATGACTGGAAACAAGTGAAATTAATAATGGCGGTCTTCCTGTGATGAATACAACTCATCCAGGGGGGGAGCAGAAATACTGCTAGTTGCTTCATACTACAGAAACCAAGATACACTGCAGCAAGATGGGACACTTAAGACTGACAAAGACTTCACCTTTGTTTGGTTTAGGAGTCAATGGCTTAGTGTCAAGCCAGCTCTGAGATAAACAGAGAAAGTTTTTGCTTTACCTCAGCACTTCTGCAATCAATGTTTGGACCTCAAATGTTTTGCGGTTAACATTGAGATTTGCCCAATACCAAGTATAACACACTAGTTATATAACCAAGAAAATCACTTGCACTTCCCCAACTGTGCATTTAATTTTTTATGTTTCTTTATGCGTCCTCCCCATCCTCTCCACAAGAGTCCTGTGTTCTGGTTCTAATCACAGACTTGCTATTAAATGTACCTGGGTAGTCAGTGTAATCCTGCATGGCTGGGTTAACTTGAGGGATGTCTGGTGGTCTGTTAGGTCCTGAACGTCCTCCCTGGTTATTTATGGTGGCATATTCTGCATAGTATTGACCACCTGGTGTCCGTCCTCTCTGGTCCGCAGGGTTCATATATCCAGCAGGGTAACCTGTGAAACCTTGAAAGGATGTTAACTTTTCAGTGTCTAGGACTAAAAGACAAATGCTCTATACTGCACTGAAAAAGGAAGTTACAATAAGCACTCAATAAACGCTGTTCACAAGTCAAAACTAATGAGAATTAAGTTTATCTAATATCAACACTTGAATCAATCTCAAGAGTTCATTACTCACATTTGATTTTGGTGGTTCCTAAATATCATTTGGCATGTTGGTCAGATCATTTTATTAAGCAGTGACAATGATTCTGATCTATACATTTGAGCATTTCATGAGCGTAAAAACCTAATGCATGAATTACAGGTAGTAATGATGCACAACCTAGTCTGTCAGCATATTCCAGTCTAGTAGACTGACATTACACAAAGAGAACCTTCGATGGTGCAAATATTATACCAATAGCATTTTGATGTCAAAATTAAGAGGTAAGGTTCTGCTTGCAAAATATTTTGGGCATGAGAGAGGATGCTGTACATACTCACCAAGCATTCCTGGATAGTTTCCCAGATATCCTCGCCCTTTGCCTCTCACTTGTCTGTTTTGTGCTGCAAATGCTGCAGCAGCTGCAGCTGCAGCTGGATAGGAACCTGAAGATGTCAGATCAAAGAAAAATATTTATTTAGCATCAAAAATATACCAGTTATGTTATATGTATGAGCAGTTTTACCATAAACCCATAAGACTCTGAAGCAAGCTTTGGCCTGCTCTTTCGTACATAGTTTGAGCAGTTTTCCCCCTTTGTCTGTTTAAACATTCATGGCGTAGTCTCCATTCAAGCCTAGTGGCCCATCAGGCCAGTGTTTATCTCTGGTGGCTACAGCATGAAGCAACTAGTCTGAGTATTTCCACTTCCCAGTGGATGAGAAACTAGTCCATCACAGGAAGTCTAACATGAGACAGTGCCACATCTGATAATAACTGATCCGTCCAGATTAGCTGAATGCTACCAGTGGATCAGTTACATTTTCTTAACATCAAGTGAAGTAAAGTGCATAAAAGTGTATATGCAATCCACTGCCATTGATCACCAGCAATATCTTTACAGTAGATACCTGGAAATGGGTAGCTTCCAAATCCTGGACCAAAACCAGATGGAGCAAAACCACGAGGAAATCCAGGAGCAAAGGGATTGTACACTGTGAAAAGAAATATGTAAGTTCATTATTAACTTCAAATGACATTTTGCAACATATTTGTCATGCTACAGGTCGATCTTTAGTGGAACTCTGTTTCTCTGAATTGTTCACAGCTAAAATGGCTAAAGAATTTAATTTAACAGGAGATTATTTTGAAATTCACAATTATTATTAATCGTGGAACACCTGGAAACTAGCGAACAGCTAAGTGTGTACTTGTCCATGTTAAATACAGTATGTCTATGTCTATGTCTATTACCAATAGAACTGCAACATTCTTTATTTTAAGGCCAATTTATCATTCCTTTTATTGGCTTTATCTTCAAAGAAGATGGTTTACTCTGAAACCACAGTATGTGGCTATTGTTAATTTCTAAACTGGAACAGGGTAAGTAGATTTTGGGAGTTCTGAGAATAAAAAAATTTCTTCAGGACAAGAAATATATGTGGCTGTATTCCAAGTATTCTCAATTAAACACAGAGAGCATTTAAATTTGACACTAGCAGCATTTGTAGCATTTAATCCAGAGCCTGTGGTATTAAAAATAAATTGATCATAACACTAGGTCTCACTGCACTTACAGAATCCTCGCCCAGCTAAGGTTCTACCAGCACGACCACGCCCACCTTGCAAACTTTGCATCACTTCTCTAGGTTGAGCTTTCTTTACCTCAGTCTGCAAAAGAAGTTGTAAATTACCAAATAATGTTATTGTTCAGGGAAGAAAATTTGAATTTTAAATTTAAAAAAATCAACACACTTCAACAGTAAAATTCACCTCTGAGTAATCGCCACTTCAACATGCTTGATCAGTAATTGAGTCTTGATCAAAGATTTCCATACAACAAAGTTTTTAATATTAATTGCTCCTGCAGTGTTTTGGCTCAGAGACCAAAAACTAGCCTGTGTAGCAGCCGTTTCCGTTCCTTTTCTGGGCGGAGAGATCGAACAAGCGAGCGAGCAAAGGAGCGTGCCTGGGGTGAGCAAAAAATTGGGGAGAAGTGGGGAGGGGGTGGGGAGAAAAGGAATCACCTGCAGTCAATCCCAAACATTTTACCAAACTCCGTTTACCCACCAACGGGGAGAAATAGTGTAATTTGATTGGTTAATAGCCTGTCAGTCAAAAAGTAACATCAGAAATTTGACATTCATGCATAATCTGTCATCTGGAACATAACAAGATCAATACAAATAGCGGAGTCCAAGGAAGCATTCAAGTTTTCTGTTCAGGAAACGAAGATCTTTTGCAAAATGGCAAACACATCGATCTCTCAACCTTACTTTGCTTCACATGTGTTTATGAGGGGCACTTTATGTTGTCTTATAAGTGGGAATTTTAAGTAGAGTGAAGCCGTTAGACAGTGCTTTGCAAATTTTAGAGGTCATTGGTCTACATGGTTACCACTGTTATCTACATGTTGCTTCGCAGAGTTTGACACCTTTTCAAAATTTGTCATGTGCTTACATTTGTATCAGCTCATTTCTATTGCAAGATATGTTTTAAAGTCTCTAAGTATTGGCTTTCGAGGGAAAAAGTTTGACATAATTTGTGAGCATGTATTGTGCACATCTATTGTGCTGCCCGGCTGGTTGATTCAGCAGAACTGTCAAGTACAGTACTATGGTGCTATGGTCATATCTTTGTCCAGTTTTTCTACGGAGTCTGCCATAGCTTTACTTCAAGAAAGCTATACATTTGTACAGAGACATCCATTTCTTGCATCAATTTGATCAAGCTTATGTACCTCCATTTTCCAAACTTTGTTTTCTTTAAACGAACAATGACAGACATGGCAATTGTCCGAAGCCATATCATTATAAAAAGGAAGCGTATTTGTGTGTACTATTTGTTTTTAGTGGACTCTATCAAGCTCATGCTGGGTGCTTGTCAAAAATGATTTACCAGAAGTTAATAATCATTGGTTCTCATGTGACTGTTGGCACCCCAAGGGAGCGTGGCTATTTGGGGGCATTCAGTAAAATGTCTGGGATTGAATGCAGGCGTTTCCTTCGCTCGCCTCACCCCCTCCCACTGCTCCTTATTTTTTGCACTTGTTCGCATTCCCTTCGTGTGCTTTTTTGGAAACACCTGTTATGCAGGCTAACCAAAAACCCAAGAAGGCATCATCAAAGTCTTTGTGTGAAATTTATAAGAAGTTAAATGATGATTTACAAGACATAATTAGACTTGAAACTGGAATAAATCTCAGTTGACAACTAAGGCATGGAAGGAAGGTGGTCTCTGGTAAAACTTCCTGCAAGCCATGATACATTGGATGTGTAGTTTCAGAAAATACTCATATACCCCTCCTCAGAGGGTATTTCACATAAGAACCCCATCTTCCAGAAATTTCCATTATTTGTAATGCAATTATAATGAATTTCCCAAAGTATTATGTACGGCCCTCAACCCCTCCGGAAAAATTCACTTTGGCACGAAAGTGTGTTAAAGTTGAAGGGAACACTCACACACACAATAACAATACATACAGCAATTTCTTTTAACACACTTTAAAAGCAACCAGATTAATGGCAACTTGTCAAATTATCTTTCTGTATAATCATGTCCCTTGGAAAATGTTGTACAATTTCCCTTTAAGGACTGTTTGAATTACTGTGGATGAAATTGTGGATGAAAAACTTTTCATCCAAAGATATTGACTGCTGCTGGATAGATTCAGAGAATGATGTGAAAAACATCAGTGCAGTTTTGGCCCATTTAGCGACTTCATGTAGACTGGTAACAAGTTAAAATGGCTGCCATGTCCACATAGCAGTGAGTTCTTGGCACTTGTTAGCGTCCAATTAAGAGCTTTTTAAAGAAAGAAAATTCCCTCAACTATAATACCATTGAAATACAAGTATTCCAGAAAGATCTACTAAGTATGTAAGGAAGGAGTTTTGAACAGCTAGATGAGTACTTGAATCTGTATTGAATTGAAGGACATCTGGAAACTGACACAGCTGTCCAACCTCCCTACCCCCTGTGATTTCCTGTGTCTTTGACCTCCTTATCCCTTTCGGAATTTCCAATTCCCTATGGATACTTTCTGGCACCATACATTGCTGTTGTTTCATTCAGTGTGTGAAGTTTATGAAGTGAACTGTTCTGGTTTTACAGTTAGTTCCACTGCTTATTCATCATGTTAAGAAAAGAAAGAATTTGAGTGTGTTTTGTCATGTACCCCTATTATATAATTCTGAGAGGCACATTCTGAGTGCCCATGAAGTAAAAAAAAATTACTGCTTATTTGAAAGGCTTTTCAAAGTAAAGAACAATCCTTATGGTGTTTTCCTTTTTGGAATATCTTTTTTCATTTTAGAGATATTTACATTTTTGTATTATGCAAATGAGGAAAGTGATGACATCATAAACAGTTCCACTTAAACGGTAAAACACTGAATCGAGAATATCTTTAGAAATATTGGAGCAGAGTTCTTCAAACCTGGCACCAGAAATGTACATCACAAAAGAAATAGAATGACACCTCCATGGCAACACTCTTGGCTCCAGTCTCTTTCTGTGAAAAACCAAATATGCCAATTTGCAACCCTTTAAATAAGGACAGAGGGTCTTGCTCAGAACACACATGGCTCCCATATTGTCTTACCTCTTCCCATTAGATTGTTGAGATAAAATCTGGGAATTTTAGTCTTAATTAAAACAGGATCAGCAGCGACGGCACGGCAGGTGTCATTTTGTTTCTTTTGTGATGTACATTTCTGGTGCCAAGTTTAAAGAACATTGCTCTAATATTTCTAGAGATATTCTTGCTTGAGTGTTGAACTGTTTTAGTGGAACCACCTATGACGTCATCACTTTCCTCATTTGCATAATACAAAAAC